GTCCAGAAAATATATATGGGTGTTCCGCAGGCTTCGATACTTGGCCCTTTGCTTTTTCAACATATATTAATGACCTTCCAAATTGTATTACCAATGGCAAATGTATATTCTATGCCGATGACACCCGCCCGCCCGCCCTTTCTTTTCTTAGAGGGTACCTCATTTGTCCAAATCACTCTTATCTTAGCAAGTACTAACCCCGCCCACCCACCCTCTCTTTTCTTAGAAAATTTGTCATTAGCCAAAATGAGTCTTATCTTAACAGCTACTAGCCCCGCCTACCCACCTTCTCTTTTGTCAGAGGGTAAGTCATTTGCCAAATTCAGTTTTATCTTAGCAGGTATTAGCCACGCCCACCCGCCCTCTAACTAATGACTAACTTTTTACTTTTATAAAATTACGTTTTTTTTGTAATCTACATCATAAAAATTTGTTTTACTATTTTTATGGAACTCCCGAAACCCCGTACGTAACGTACTGAATAGTTAATCCGCCATTTTTCAGACATCCGGTTTTTTGACTCATAAGTGTCATCATAAAAACTCCTAAAATAAAATTTCATAATTATTTGAAGAAAACAGTTTTGTTGAATTGTACTTAAGGGACATGAGGGCATTTGTCTAAACACCCTTGGACCAATTTTTACATTTGCATTTCGTTCCTACAGAGGTTTTTCTACGTTAACAGCGGAAAAATAAATTATGGATTTCTCTATAAAAATTAAAAGGTTTTATGATAACTCCATATCCAACATGAGGAAATTACCCAGATTATTTTGTTCGTCAAGCTGCACATTGCGGAAAATTTTATAGTTATTATCGTAACCGGGGCTGGCTGGGGACTCATGTGCAGCTCCGACAACTACGTATTAGTTACTGTAATTCAAAGTATGTCATAAACTTTTTTAATTTTAATTTTTCCTATGAATTCAGCGAACGAAGTAGATATAAATTTCTGAACACACAAAATATTGCTACTAAGTAAATCCATACTCTACCCCGGTACGACGCCTATGGGTTTTCCAGTATGTACTTTGCGAGGATGACCGGTGACTCATCATCGCCGACGGCGGCGTGCGAATAAAGAAAAGCCTAGAAGCGGTTCGCGGGAAGTTTCGATGGCGCACTGCAGGAAGCAGCAATCGCGAACTCTGAGCTGTACATTAAAGCTGAATAGTTAGTTGTGTGGGTGCAAATTATCGAGAAATAAATTGTAGGGTTTTACTCATGCCAACTGAATTTGCGTAAATCATAAAAACTAAGAAATCTTCACTTAGAAATTCGATAAGTTTTATTTTCCATAGAAACACACACATATGTTAGATTTGAATCTACATTTTTGATTTGTTAAATTAACTTTAATTATTCGTGATACTTGGACTGCACTATGCATTAAAGGTTGCATAGTTACATTTTAGGTCTATTTTTGTAAAAAAAAAGGAATAAGGTTATTTAGACCAACTTCTTCTCATAAACTGCGTCATTCATTAATTTTTTCACCATGATTCTTAAATAGAGTTTATTCAAAATTTTGAAATAACGTCATCAAGTTTTGAGGAGGGGGGATAAAATTTAAACTTTAATTAACGACTCACTAGCTCTACGAGTACCTCAAAACGTTTACGACGTTTTATAGCATTCTGTTTGCTAATTTCTAAGTTATAAAATATAGTTAGCTACCTTCGATTTATTTAAAAAAAATGTGGATAGGGTAAAAGGTCAAGACGGTTCATCAGATAACAAGTGCAATCAAATTACTAGTGGGGATGATCAGGTTAATTTTGCTTAACTTTTTAAAATACATATAAAATTCGACAACAATCAATTCAGTAGTTTCGGAGATTATATGTATAATAAATGGCGACACAGATGATAGACAAACGACAGAGAGACGACAGAACGTCAAAAGACATGACGAAAACAGGTAATCTATTTTTTCATTCTCTAGGGATCAAGAAACGTCGATAAAACATGACAATACCATAGTCTTTCGACGAACGACCTTATTAAAATTTGTACTTTCTTAGTTTACGCTCGGAAAGGAAAAAACAAAAGCATGGACCCTATTACTACTAGCTGGCAGTTTGTCACCACTTGTCATGGTACAGCGAGAAATCTCATCTAAACTAAATATGTGTTACTGAAATACGTAGTAACTGCCAAGATAAGACTGATTTTGGCAAATGAAATATCCTCTAAGAGAAGGGAGGGCGGGTGGGCGGGGCTAGTATCTGCTAAGATAAGACTGAATTTATCTAATGAGATACCTTCCAAGAAAAAAGAGGGTGGGTGGGTGGGGCTAGTACCTGCTACTATAAGACTGACTTTGGCAAATGAGATCTCTCTTAGAAAAGAGAGGGCGGGTGAGTGGGGCTAGCATCTGCCAAAATCAGATTTGTCTTAACAGGTACTAGCCCCACCCACCCACCCTTTCGTTTCTTAAAAAGTATGTCATCTGCCAAAATGAGTTTTATCTTAGAAGATCCTAGTCCCACCCACCCACCCTCTCTTTTCTTACAAGGTATTTCATTTGCCAATATCAGTTTTATCTTAGCAGCTACTACCTAGGATAAGACTGATTTTGGCAAATCACATAGTTTCCAAAAAAATAGAGGGTGGGTGGGCGGGGCTAGTAACTGCCAAGATAAGACTGATTTTGGCAAATAAAATATCCTCTAAGAGAAGTGAGGGTGGGTGGGCGGGGCTAGTATCTGCTAAGACAAGACTGAATTTACCAAATGTGATACCTTCCAAGAAAAGAGAGGGTGGGTGGGCGGGGCTAGTACCTGCTACGATAAGACTGATTTTCGCAAAGAGATCTCTTGGCAAACATTTTTGTTCTAGTCTTCTTATACTGTTGTTTTTCTAATTTTCGACACAAATGAGTCTTTTCTTAGGCTACATCTTTGGTATGTTTTAAGACTGTGGTAACCGAATTTGAAACAAATTTTCGCGCTGAAAGTGATTAACAGCGGTGCGAAATCAGATTTGAATAATTTGAACTAAAAATTTTTAACGACGCTAACACGTTAGGAGTTTAATTGTTAACTAGTTCTAACATAATTTAACAGTCAGGAACTTGCTTAGATAAATCATAGCTAGGAGATTTCATGAAAGTCACTTAGTCAGGACTCGTTTGATTTTGTTTGTCTAATTATGAATAAGGTTTCTGGATGCAAATACTTAAGTGTTAATTTATAACATTTTTTAATTTCTCACACAAGATCGCTCATAATTCATTAACGGCTAAAATCAAACTAACGTTGCCCCACTTTGGGAAAAGACCGTAAATGTAAAAAGCAGAATTCATAATATCGTAGACTAGGGCGAGATTAAAATAATTTCTTGCTTTAGGCAGTTATCATCGTTATTATCACCGTTATCATCATTACATCACCGAGGCATTTTCTCGCAAATTTAAACATTACATCACCGAGGCATTTCCTCGCAACGTGGAAAATGACATCACCGAGACATTTGCTCGCAACGTTAAAAATTACATCACCGAGGCATTTCCTCGCAACGCTAAAAATTACATCACCGAGACGCTTATTTCTCGCAACGCTGACTGCACAATTTTAACTTCAGTAATTTTCGTTGATGTATAATTTAAATTGAACGTAAACTTTTATGCTCGGCAGTAAGTTTCTAACCTCATGTAATATTTTATCTGTACAAGTTTATTTCACACTAGATCTTTTGTTTTTATAAATCTTTGCTAGTTTTTTTTTATGTAAATATTTTGTTGATGAATATTTCCATCATATAAATTATCTAATGTCTAATCTTAATCTCAAATAAGAATTATTTGTTGTTTAAAATTTCACAAGATTGTATGGCGAATTTAAATGTTGTTTATTACCCTTTTTGAACTTTAACACTTGTTCAGTTGTAGTTTAATGTTCGAGTTACAGAAATTGAACATTTAAACGGTATTCCGGTTAGATAACGCAATAACACTTGGCAGAAGCGGAGTGCGCGGTCCTTTTTCGAGCTATCAAGCTACTTTTCGGCCGGATTTCCTTTGTCAACAAATTATTATTAATACACTAGATCAGAAATTAAAAAATTACCATGAAACCAGACAAAGTTACTGGTTTCGAAGAAACTTTGATTTTATTTCATTAGTTAGTAGCCTTTAATGCATTTTTTACCCTACAAGTTTTAAGCTCTATGCTCGCATAAGATTCGCTTAATATTTCGATTATTTTACTTTATTTTGAAACCCATTTGTTCCACAATTTTCTCATTTTTAAATTTTAGATACAAACTTAAACCAATTAAATATTATCCTCCCATATTGCAGTTTTCGTTTTTTAGTTTTAGCTGTTTCCCAACTCACCCTAGCATTTCCACTGAGCCAACTAAATTTTTGTTTTTTTTTGATAAATTTTTGTCAGAAAATTTCAACTCGAACCAGGTATATTCAAGAACACTGACTTGATTTGATTGGAAAGCTTTTTCTTTTTATCTTATTGAACCGAAAATGTCCCGCCCCCGCAAAAATCTTCCATGAATTTGACCTCTTGTGGTCGGAGTCAGGCAGCAACACAGGTCATGTTTTCTTTGGCACTCCACTGCACTCCGACTTTATTCAAATAAAACCACTTCTTTCGCCTGTTATACAAAAGCGTTTGTAGGTAGTTTTTCTGTCGCACAAGAAGAGGCGTCTGTTGTTCAGATTATACTATTGAATTACAAGTCCTGAGAGAAGTTTTCCTGAGAGGCAGAACGATGAGTGAATCGCACAACACACAAATAGCAAATAAGAGCGAGAACGGGAATAAAACAATCCGTTCGTGGAGATCTCGCACACTTGCTATTCATTACTTGCCTCGAGAGCCCTCTTACGGCCGACCGACCTACTTCTAGCAAGGATTTGTATACAATTTGCCTCGGATCACATCATCTTGCTTTGACTAAGGTTAAGGGAATTAGAAGGAAGTGTTGGAGAAAGGAAATGCTTTTACGTGCGCCATTTTTTCTTTGTTCTGAACTTACCGACCACATCCAGATATCCCACTTGGCTTTTCATTGGATCGGTATTTATTTGACACATGTACCAGCCCCGGTCGGACTCGCGTACCTCCTTTATGTGCAAATACCACGTCTTGTGTTCGCTGTGGGTCACTCCTATGCGGTGATTCTTTGTGATCACATGATTGTGGATCGTGAGGATGGTTTGGGTGTCAACTCGCAGCCATGCCACCTGAAAAGACGCAAAATGAAAAATTGCCAGAATTTCGGAAGCTCTAGATGCGAACGAACCGAGTTCGACACAGTTTTAATGAAACAACTAAATGCAGCCCGCAATTCTTCTAACTTCTAAATCCAACTCTACCAGTTTGTAACATAACAGTAATGTGTAAACGCAATTAAAAATTGTATGCCCGTCAAAGAATTGATGACGTCATATAGATCTATACCGTTTTATCTGGAGATTTACGTCTTTGCTCTTATTTTTGACTTTAACTCCTAGAGTTATTCTAAAAATACTTAGTTATACAGAATAATTAAGCTGATTTAAATTACTGGAAGCTTCTGGATGTTCAAAGGGGTAAGGTAAATCGTATGCGTTAGAACGTTTGTTTGACTTAATCTTATATATATATATTTGAGTGATGTAGTCTAGCGCTTAAGACGTGATAGAGGTATGTTCATTAATTCGTACTGTGAGATTAAACGGTGTAATTCTACCAAGCAGGATTTCGTTGCTTGTTGCACTTTCCAGATTCCCTGTAACACATACGAATATCATTCCACGTAATTCTGAGATACATCGTCTGTGTAATAGGAACATTTTGCTTTTTTGTGGGCATTAATTGCTTGAAACTAAAACCCGGCAAGTGGAAGGAACGCCTAACATTTTCGATAGTGAAATGTTGTTACCTGTTTAAAATTACGAGGAAATTTATAGCTTAGTTTTTAAGTGTAAAATACCTGCGACTAATTTGTTGCAGAAATGAAAACGCCAAACAAAATTCGTGTGGTCATCCTAACTGACAACTTGATGGCGCCATCTCAAAATTTTGCATGGTAATTGTTATTTTGTTCTGAATTTGTTCAAAACATTTTAATTGTAATGATTTAATAATAATTTTGTTAATGTAAAGTTGATTTGTATTTTAATAAAGATACAGAATCCAGTGAAACATTATTCATTTATTTCCCTAACGATTTCTCCCTTTACAGTCTACTTCTAAACAGTTATTGTGAGTTTAGCTTTACCAATATGATTACCTCATCACTCACTGCTGAATACACAGACAAAATATTTGTTTATTTTGCGAATTTAAAATAAATACTTCTGTAAAAAGCAATTTTCGCTTTAAATTATTCACAAATATTTAACGAAAATATTTGGAAACAAAAATGTATAATAATGCATTTTTACTAAAACGTTGGTATTTATTAGGTTATAGATACAAATTTTTCTCTAAATTATTTCGCTGTGTTTTATGTTTGTTCCTAGAGTATTACAAAGCTCACAGTAGTTGCGATGAGAAAGAGGAAATTTTACAGTAGTCAAATAAATAAACGAAACTGTTTTGCAAACGTTCCCGTTCAGCATCGCCGCCTCCCCACGAACCGAAACAGCACCGTCCAGACAGGAGCCAGCTAGAGGGACGTTTGTTATTTTAGATTTTACAGCTGGTGTTAGGGAATATAAGAAGACTATTTTTAAGTTTAGCTATTGCGTTATCACGACCCCTAGAAATCCGTTTTTAAAGTTAAAATCCCCCAAGTGCATCCTCTTCGGATAGGGAGTTGGCGCCCGAGCAAATTTTTTTGGTCGTTCGTATTAAATATACGATACCCCATATATCTGTGTTACTAATGATGAGATTTTGACGTAGGTTCTTACTCTGACCAAAAAGAAATTTGACAGTCCTTTGTCCAGCGGTACTTCCTGACGCAGATAATACTAGTAGACGGTCAACATATTTTTGACTTCGCTCCTCCGTCAATATACTCTCAAATGTCTTAGTTTTAATCCTTAATATCAGAACTTGTGTGTTTATTTCCTATCGTTACAAATTCTTATCATTGTTCTACATATGCACACATTCGTTGATTAAGATTAGTGATTTTGTAGAAAATAAAGGGATTAGAAGAAACAGTTAATTTTTCTTACTTCATCAATCTGTTTTGTAATTAGTAGTTATATGCTGGGGGTTCTAGCTCATTCATATGGAAAATTAACGTCGAAAATCGTAAAAAAACCTAAAACCTCCTGTTAAATTGGCCATCGTCAGTCGGAAAAATTACTTACGAAATGTTCAGAATTTCGTGAAATTTTTACGATTTTCCATGTTAATTACCACATGAGACCCCCCCCCCCCCATCATTCTTCCAGAGTTATTCTTTGTATATTAGTTGTTTATACCTAATTCTTACATTGAAAAATCCTCAACTAAAGTTTTTCTGAAATTTTTAGGATTTCTTAAGTTAATTTCTCATAAGAATGACACAGGGCCCCCACCATTCTTCCAGAGTTATTCTTTCTATATTGGTTGTTTGTGTCACACATATTTCCATTGAATAATCCTCAACTAAAATTTTGGCAGAAAACTTTACCTTCTGGGAGGTACGTTTAGATAGTCGTTATACACTTTTCTAAAAATTTTATAATTTCCCATAAGAATGAACCAGAACCCCCACCATTCTTCCAGAGTTACTCTTTCTATACTGGCTGTTTGTACCTCACTTTTCCATTGAAGGATCCTCAACTAAAATTTCGGCATAAAACTTTATTTCCCGAGCGTAAGCTAAGTATTTTTGTAAAGTGTATAAGATTCTTATGAAATTTTCTGAAAGTTTTATGATTTCTTATGTTAATTTCCTATAAGAATGACTCCCACCACTCTTCCAGAGGATGAAGAAGTGTTGTGGCTGTTTTTATTTCTGGAAGTGAGAAGTGTGCAGTTTGACCCTCCGACCACCGTAAGCACCTTTTTGCGTAACGGTTTTTGGAATCGCCGCCCCCGAGCGAAAAACCGTCACCGTTTTTTTTTGTCGTCGCCATCACAAGTCGGTACCGTCGTGCAATTTCCAGGTTCAAGGTCGCCGTCCCCAAGTCCAGGAGGAGCCCGTCCTGAAGGAAGTCTTCGCCCAGGAGGAACGACCGTGCCGGTCATTTAATTCACTTTTGTTTGTAAAACCGTTTTGTATTTTTTAATTTAAGTTTAGCCGTAACTTTTATTATTTTAGGCGTGTGTGGCAGCGAATAAACCCGATTTATTGTTAAAATATTCCTTGCAGTTTTATATTATTATCTTGTTTGCGGGCGCTCATCACCTGAAATCCGTGTCTCCGGCTTGAGAGCAACCCCGGCGCTCCCTACCTCGGAGTGGGAGCAGCCGCCTCATAAGCTTAGGTCGGCCAGACGTGTTTGTTTATGTCAGCGACACTAGTCACCCAAAGCTTGATACCCAGGTCCGGTACGCCGCCACCACACCGGAATTTCGTCGCACAATCCCCAACAAAAATTTTGACGTAAAACTTTACTTCGTGATGGTAATGTGTGTAAGGTCCTTTTGAATTTTTCTGGAACTTTTATGATCCCGTGTTAATTGTCCATAAGAGTGAGCCAGAAGCCCCATCATTCTTCCACAGTTATTCTTTCCACACTGGTGGTATGTACCACATTTTTTCATTGAACTATAATACTCAACTAAAATTTTGCCATAAAACTTCACTTTCTGAGAGGAAGCTTGTTATTGTGATGTGTATACGGTCGTTATAAATTTTTCTAAAAATTTTAAGATTTCCCATGTTAATTTTCCGTAAGAATGAGGCAGAACCCCCACCATTCTTCCAGACTTTTTCTTTCTATACTGGTGGTTTCTAGCACATTTTTCCATTGAACAATCCTCGACTAAAATTTTGGCATAAAAACTTACTTCCCGAGAGTAAGCTAAGTATTATTGTAATGTGTATTAGGTTCGTTGGATGACTGATCAATTGCAAGCTTTCTCGACGTTTCGTGACCTCTAGAGTACGGAACAGTAGGTCTCCTCTTTCCGTCTGTCAGTTCTGTGTTTAACTAAAATTTGTCTAATTGTCCGCACCAATAATTTGACTCATGCACTCGTGGTTTATGAATTTGCCTATACTGGTGGTTTGTACCACATTTTTCCATTGAACAATCCTCAACTAAAATTTTAGCATAAAACTTTACGTTCTGGGAGGAACGTTTATATACTCGTTATACATTTTTCTAAAATTTTTATAACTTCCCATGTTAATTTCCCATAAGTATGAACCAGAACCCCCACCATTCTTCCAGAGTTACTCTTTCTATATTGGCTATTTGTACTTCATTCTTCCATTGAAAAATCCTCAACTAAAATTTCGGCATAAAACTTTATTTCCCGAGCGTAAGCTACGTATTTTTGTAAAGTGTATAAGATTCTTCTGAAATTTTTATGATTTCTTATGTTAATTTCCTATAAGAATGACTCCCGCCACTCTTCCAGAGGGTGAAGAAGTGTTGTGGCTATTTTTATTCTGGAAGTGAGAAGTGTGCAGTATGACCCTCCGACCACCGTAACTACCTTTTGGATCATCTGCCCGTTTGCGTAACGGTTTTTGGAATCGCCGCCCCCGAGCGAAAAACCGTATCACCGTCACCGGGTTTTTTTGTCGTCGGCGTCACAAGTCGGAACCGTCGTGCGTTTTCCAGCTTCAAGGTCGCCGCCCCCAAGTCCAGGAGGAGCCCGTCCTGAAGGAAGTCGTCGCCCAGGAGGAACGACCGTGCCCGTCATTTATTTCAATTTTGTTTGTAAAACCATTTTGTATTTATTTAATTTAAGTTTAGTCGTAAGTTTTATTATTTTAGCCGTGTGTGACATCGAATAAACCCGATTTACTGTTAAAATATTCCTTGCAGTTTTATTTTATTATCTTGTTTTCGCGGGCGCTCACCACCTGAAATTCGTGTCTCCGGCTTGAGGGCAACCCGGGCGCTCCCTACCCCGGAGAGGGAGCTGGCGCCTCATAAACTTAGGTCGACTAGACGTGTTTGTTTATATCAGCGACACTAGTCGGCCAAAGCTTGGTACCCAGATCTGGTACGCCGCCACCACACCGGAATTTCGTCGCACAATCCCCAACAAAAATTTTGACGTAAAACTTTACTTCGTGATGGTAATGTGTGTAAGGTCCTTTTGAATTTTTCTGGAACTTTTATGATTCCCGTGTTAATTG